CGCGTTTAGCGATTCTCCTTAATCGTTTCTATATAGCCACTGTCTTTAACTCCCCCCCCCCCACTTCCCCCAGGATAGAAATTAACTGGTTCTGACCAGTCATTTTTCCTTAAAATTTTCCTATTTTCTAGAATTATTTTTATTTTTTTTTTTTTATTTCTAACATATTCTATTCAAAAATATTACATATATAATATTATTCTTTGGAACTCCGATGGAATTCCGACGGAATTCTGACGGAATTCCGATTAATTTTTTTCAAAATTTTTAGAGTCCTAATTACGTCGGAACTGCGTCGAAATCCCATTGGAAATTCTTTGGAACTCCGACGGAATTACTATGGAAGTTGCGGCGGAATTCTGATAGAACCTCCAGTGGGCACTTTCCGGGGAATCTTTCCAAGTGGGTATCAGCTCTCTAAATCTGAATCAGTCATATTTCACTGATTAGCAGTAGAAATCTACTAATTGCCATAGCGAGAATTGAGCAACTGATAATTAGTAGAAATTTACTGATTCAATTAGTAAAATATCAATTACTGATTGAATCAGTAATATAAACATATGGCAGCGGCGGCAAAATCTACTGATTTAACAGTTTTAAAGGTTATGTTATATACCATGGATGTCCCAGTTACCGTCCACCTAAGACCTAGTTTCCGTCCAGTTTAATTTTCAAAATAACATTTATAAAAAAATTATTTTCTTTTATTTGTTTACTTAAACTAATAAGTCGATTGCGTGCCAAAAGGAATAAATTATTGTTAAAAAATAATTTAAATTACTATACGAGATATTTGTAAAATGGACGGAAACTGGGACATGGACGATAACTGGTACATCCACGGTACAAATTACTGATTTACATAAGTTATTTTCTATTGCTTGCATATTCACTAATTATATTAGTAAATTTAAAAAAATAACTGAAACTTTAGTTAAAATGAAAAGTACTGATTGAATTAGTAAAATTTCTACTGATTCAGATTTAAAGAGAGGACCTTAGTTGGAAATGAAACGCCACACCTGATCAGGGCCAAATGTGGATTTCCTAATTAGAGCCACATCAGGCGCGGCTTTTCATTACCTAATAGGGCAGCCTGATCCGACCCCTGGCAAAATTTCAGCACGGGATGTAAAACAGATGAGAATAATTTTGAAAAATCTTGCACGCATGGGGGATCGAACCCAGGACCCTTGGAACGCGAGCCAAATACAGAGACCACAGAGCCACGTTGACTTATACAGTTCTTTTACCTAACACTTCTTGTTAGGACCTTCTCCAAAGGACTGTAATGCCTTATTTGTGATGACTAATTAAATTAAAATATAATATAAAAAATATAAATAAAAATATATATTAAAAAAATATATTAATATAATATATGTAATTAATATAATTAATAATTAATTATTATAATTAATATATCAATATATTATTAAATTAAAAAATTACTTTCTGAAATACAAAATTGATATGTATTTTTGACAAAAAAAAAATATTGTGATAAAAAGAATATTAATTACAAATTATTATTATAATTGTAATTAATTATTAATTAAAATATCGCGGAGACATTGATTGATATTGGCGCTTTATTGAATTCACAATGAAGTTTCTAATGAAGGGGTTAAACTTCATCCTTATCAAACCAAATAAGATGTACATTCCAAGATCTGACGTTGCAAGACCACACTGTGTCACGTAGGATATTGTACAATGTTGAACGTGAGTTGTGTGCTTTATTGGAAGAGCTCTTTGAAGTTACAAATAGGAAACCTCACTGGATTATAATACAATCTATATAGGAAAATTATTCACTTCCGACATTTCAAGAATAATAAATTTCAACTATTATAAATGTAGTAACTATTTTTTGGAAAAATCAGCATTTTCTTTTTTTTTCTAAATATATTCTGATTTTAATTACTAACTATAGTTACTAGACAATTTTAATATAACCTAAACAGAATTTAACTAATAATTAGTTATTTTTAACTAATACAAATTAAGAGAGAATTTTAGATAATTTTCTGCGACGTTTTGAAAATAATTCAAGAGATAGTTCTCTGTTTGAAAAAAGCATTTTTCATTAACTGAAGAATATGGAATATTTCCTGATCATTATATAAATTGCCTTTCAAGTTAAAGATAAAAATCAGTCCATAAATGAGATAAATTAAGTATATTAAAAAAAAAAACAGTTAACTATTTGAAATCAAGGTATATGGATGCTGTGATAATGCAATGAGTCATGTGACAAAACGAGTAACTGGTACGGGAGAGAAATCTGTTGCTAATTGAAACGTCAGGGCTTTTAAAGGTGTGTCATTGCACAAAACTGTGTGCGTATAAGAGAGAAAGAGAGGGAGAGAGAGAGAGAGAAGAACAAACCAGACAGAAATACATCCTTCACTTTTCTCAAAATGAAGAGAGAACAAAGGAAAAATGTACTGAAAGTAGACATCAAATGAGTGATTTGCGACAAAGAGACTGTCGAACGATGTGCAAATGGTGGATGGCAGACGGGAAGATTATTTAACACTTTTCACAGAAATTCTTCTTTTTTTTTGAAAATAGAAATGAACTTTTTTTATATAAATCAGAGAAAAAATGAATTTTCTTTGAAATAGATAAAAAAAAAAGTGAAATTTTTTCATATAAAGAAGAAAGAAAAAAAAAGTAAATATTTCTTTATTTTGTCCCTAAGAATAGGAGTAACAATTTTTTCTTAATATAGATCATAAGATATTCAAAATATTTCAATTTGACGGAAATCTAATAACAAAATTCAGTGTCGAAAGCAAATTCAGGAAAATGGAAATTCGGTCAAACGAAAATTAATCTAAATGAAAATTTAATCAAAAGCAAATGCGGTTAAATATTGAAAATTAGATTAGAGAAATAATTTCTCTTGACAAATTTTATGAAAATTGTATTAAAAAAAAATAAAATTTTTTTTTTATACAATTTCTACACGAAAAATTATAAAAAGTTTTGTAAATTAGTATTTTTAAATAATTAAATTTATATTCTTTATCGAAATAATCCTAAAGTATTTTTGATGTTTGAACTGTATGTTTTATATGATATGGTAAATTTAGAATGCAAAAGATGGACTATAAATTGGAAAATGTCGTATATTCAACCGCCATTTTTCAGAGAGTCGTATAGGTGGAAGTATCCGGAAAACAAAAATATTCTGCCGGTCTAAATCGATTGAAGATCAGTTTCTAGATAGCTTTTCAAAACCGGTCGTGAAAGCTCACACGAGATTCATCCCCAGAGAGAGAGAGAGGGAGAGAGAAAGAGAGAGAGAGTGTGTGTGCAGCAATGAACCACCATGACAAGATTTATTGGCTAGATCCATCACTATATTGTTTAGCCTGCCCTCAATGCACCTATTTTATTCTGTTTTATTCTCCACTTCATTAAACTTATCTAACAAACTATTATCTTTCTTCATGTACACAAAAAAAACATCCACACACCCACATGTAAAGTAATTAACTATAAATACTAAATCCACAATATAAAAATTTTATTATTAGATCTTTTAAAAAAAATTTAAATTTTAAATTTAATTTTCTTTTAAAAAATTAAAGTCAATATTTTCTACTAATTAACATTTTTTGTTAAAACTAAGAGATTTAAATTTTATTTAAATTCAATTATTTAATTCATTTCATTATTATTATTATTTTTGAATGTAAAATATATAAAAAAAAAGAAAAAAAATGCAGTAAATAAAATAACAATGTGGATTTATAAAATCAGAAAAACAATCAGTTATATATTGTAGTAGGTACAAGCGATGAAATACATTCCGTCTTGCATCATTGAACTTTCATACAATCGCTTTAAATAATTTTTTTTTTTTATTGAAATACACTGAATGGCTTCGAAGAATCAAATGAGTTAAAAGGAAAAATTATTACCAGGTCTTTCACCTATTGAAAGTTACAGAAAATATTTTTCTTTAATAACGTTTTCAATCTTTAATCTCATGTGTATTATATTTATACACCCACACCTTTTCTCATATGTTAAGAATTTAAAGAATTTATCTTCAATTATTTTATTAAGAAATGATTAATAAATTTGACAAATAAATCAAAACAGACAAAAAAAAAATTGTTAATGGAAAATTGAAAAAACTTTTTTCATAAATCATTTTTTTTGTTTTTTTTATTGAAAGAAAAAGTTTATGTTCTTTAAACGAAAGAAAAATATTCTTCTTTAAGGTATATAAAAAAATCTTTTCTTTTTACAAATCTATTTTTATTTCATTGAGAAAAAAGAAAGAAAGAGTTCAATTTTTTTATATCGAACATGATTTTCATTTTTTTTTTTTTCCTTTTTTCATGACAATACTTATATTCAAACTTTTAACCTAAAATTGTAATAAAAAGAAACTTTAAATAGATAAAATTTTATATTTAAAAAAGTTTCGGTTTAAAAATGATATAATGAAAAATTATCCCATATAAAACTTTATAATAATGGTTATATAGGAGAAAAAGTTGAAAAAAATTTTTAATCTCGTTTAAAAAAAAAAAAATGGATTTATAATATATAACAAAATCAAGAACTAAAATACTTTCATGCGCGCGAGAGTATTTTTATTGTGATAAGAATTATAATTAATATCACATAATAAAAATAACGGCTCTACCTTATATAATTGTAACCGTTAAAAAACGAATTCAAACTATATAGATAATAATAAACAGTAAAGATAAAGTCGTCAGGAAATTGTTCCATTATAAAATAAAGATATTTTTCTCAATAATTGCAGTTGGCAGATGTATATTATACATTTTAAGAACAAAACAAATTTATAAATATCGATTGTATTTTTTTTTTTTAATTAATTCTCACAAGGAAAATATTTTCATTCTTTTCTGTTTTCCATTTCAATTTTTTTTTCAGTTATTACTTAAAAGGAAGTAAGATAAAATAATGTTATTATAATAATAGAGTAAAAAATAAAAACTTACATTAAACATATTCGTCGATTAGATGTGAATGGTGACAATGGAAATCTGAAACAAAATGAAAAAGAGAATAATAAATAAATTTACAAAAGGTGTAAATAAAAGGAAAATACATAATTCATTGAAAAAAAAATTCATTTTCATGACAATGAAAAGTCGAATTGCAAGAAAATTAACAAACTGTCTATCATATATACTTTGATTAAAAAAAGTCTTCTTCACGTTTTCATGAACATTTTTATGTCGATTCTCATATAGAATCAAAACCTATGACTGACATGCAATATTGGCTTCAAACTACCTTTAATCAAAATATTCATATATGCATATAAGGCATGCATGAAAATTTGAAAATTGTATTTCTAAGACTTTAATATTCCATGACATAAACAATAATTTTACATTGAAATGAAAAAAAAGAGGCCTGACAAAGTAATTAAGCATTTTTGAGTATATAAATTTGATAAAAAAATATATATATATATAAAAAATTATAATAATTTTTTTTTCTCAATTACTATACATTCAATGCGAGTTTATATGTGTTGTTGAGTTGATAACCTATTTTGATAGTACTTAATTATGTAACAAGCATTGTTCGTGGGAATGAGGAACTGTAGATAAGGAAATGCAGAGTGATGATGCTAAGTGAATTCTAATCCGATAAAATTCAAAATCGTTTGCTTAGCATTGAAAACCAATTTATAAAACTTAACTGTCAAATGTCACTGAAAATCCTTAAAAGTTTTTAAATTTGACAAAAATTAACTTTTTATTTATTACTTTACGTTCGTTAATTGTTAATTTAATACCACTATTGAATTATTCAATAATAATTAATTTAATCAATTATTATTGATTGAATAATTTCAATTAATAATATTTAATTTTGTTATTTATTCATAGTCCAGTATTTAATTTTATTATTTTTTTAAAGTCCAATATTTAATTTTATTATTTATTTATAGTGTCCAATATTTAATTTTATTATTTATTTATAGTGTCCAATATTTAATTTAATAATTAAATAATAGTAATAAAAAATTCAAAAATATTTCTACTTAAATTAGCAATTATTATTAATAATAATAGGTATAAATTTTTAAAATTTACAGAAAAAAATCGCAAAAATTTCATTGCTACTTTCTAAATTTCTCATGAACAATAATTTCATATTTTCTCTCATTTTATAAAAATTTTACTTTGACAAAAATGACCTTTATTTTTAAATGAATGTTAATAATTGTTAAACTACCTAAGTTCTTTTTTATTCTTTTAATTTCTTTTTTAGTTTCCTCCACAGTGTATATACTCACATATAGTCATGTAATTAACAAGTATATACGATGAGAAATCATTCTCAAAAGAGTTTGTCTTTCTCAAACAGTATATAAAAATATTTTTAAAATTATTTACAACATTTTAAAACTTGTACCTATACACTTTGATTTATACACATTACTCTCTGGAATTATAGTTAAAAATAGTTGCTGATTCAAATAGTAATATTTCTACTAATTTTTTTAATTAAAAATAATTAATTATTAGTTAATTATACTTTTAGCTTATGTCAAAGTAACTAAAATTTCTGGTAACTAATTCAATTAATTTTTACTATTTTTTTAATTATTGCATAGTTACTTTTTACTAATAATTAGTATTTTTTTTACTAATTACTGAAGCAAAAATTCAGACAATATTTTACGTTATTGTTAACTATAATTGAGATTTAGAGATTTAAAAAAAAATAATTCATATTTGGATTAAATTAATTTAAAAAAATAATTTAAATATAATTCTATCTAAAATTGAAATCGATTTCTACAATATGCGAAATTTTTGTTGTCATAAAAATGATAAACGAAAATTGAGAATAATTCGCTAGAGCGCGATATATCTTTTTTTTTTTTTTTTATTCGACTTGAGCCTGATGAAAATCTAATCATTTTGAAAGTTAGTCAACCTGAAAACTTAATCGTGCGCTCGGGACATAAAATATAAACCATATAAAATACTATAATTGCGAGATTTTATCTGTATGCAGTAAATGAGTATATAGGGACACAGTTTCAAAGATAAACCAAAAGTGACTGTCAAGCAAGTAATACAGACATCGACAGCTTCCGGTATGAAGAAGCAACGATAAAGATTTCTATCCGAGATGACTTAATGCATTCAAGCAGTAATATACTCTTCATACATATACAATATATATATATATATATTTATTCATTTATTTTGTATAACTTTTTTGTTATAACTTTCACACATGAAATAATGTTCGGTCAATGATTTGTGATTCAGATATAAATAGTAATTTAAATTAATATTTTCTATAAATTTTGAAATATTTTTCATCTGTATAAAGTATTTTTTTTTTTAAATAAAATAATTTTTATTCAAATGTTTTTGTAAAAAAAAAAGAGTTTTTCGAGATTAAATCGAGGATTAAATTTCACATTCTTGTTTTAATGCTTCTGAAACTTTTAATCTCTCAATAAACTTAATGTATTCAATTGAATTTCCATCAAAGCTTAGACGATAAAATTCAATGATATATTAATCATCGTTGTGTTAAACCCACAAGCAAAATTTATAGTCCCCCCGCAAAGTACTTAAATATAAAATATTCTATTATTATTATTATTTTTATGGTAAAAAAATGGAACAATGTCCTTGAAATAAAAAGACATTTTGTAAATGGCTAATAAAATTGAATATTTTTTTTTGATAATTTGTATATATTTTAAGCAATATCAGTTTTTATTTAATATTTCCTCTTTAAATAATAATTTAAACGAAAACAAAGGTCAAAATAAAGTTTATACAATAAATTTGATTCTCTGTAATAAATTTTTTCTTTGAAACTAAACAAACTCAATGTAAAATAAAAACCAATTTCAATGGAATGCTTGTTAAAAACGATTCGAATGACAACTTCAAATAAAACATTTTCAATGAAACGTTTCATTTTCAAAAAAAAAAAACAAGTGCGGAACAAAATTTTTCAAATGTTTTTTTTTTTTTTAAACAAAAAATGAGCAAAAGAAATAATTTTTTTCTCATATAGTTACTAAAAATAATAGGTACAATTTATTTAAAAATAAAAAAAAAATTTAATCAATAAAATTTTAAATAAAAGAAAATAAAAAATTTTGGAAAATTAATAAAGATTTTAAAAAATGCAAATAATTTGCTTTCAGAAGACTATAAACGCGCGACTTCCAAGAGCCGACTGACAAGAAACACGTGGACCAGCGGAAGCTGAATAAACTTGGTCTCGAAGGTAGCCGGACAGAAACGAGTAGAAACGAAATGTGTCGAGAGAGAGAGAGAAAGACTAGTGGGAGGAATCTTTCCAGCGTTTTCATGAAGGGGGGGGGGGTGGAAGGGTAATTCGTGGTTTTTAAGGGGGAAGGGGGGAATAAATTCGATTTGCAACAGAGGAGAAATCTTGACTTAAACAAAAGAGGGGTTGGAGATAAAGGAAACTGCAACTATATTCAATTTCGTTTGTTCAGCAAATATTAATCCAGTGCAGAAGTTTGCGGTGAAAAAAAAAAATTAAATCTATAACTCTTAATAGTCGCCGTAATTAGCACAGTATTAAAAATTTAATTTAATTTTACAATTCTAAATATTTATAGAATTTTTTTATCATTAAAATAATAATAATAATAAATAATAATAATAATAATAATAAATAATAATAATAATAATAATAATAATAATAATAATAATAATAATAATAATAAAATAATAATGAGGCCTCTGAAAATTATTGTCAGTGGTAATAAATATTTAATAAGAAAATTTTTGAGGAACATTAATCACTGAGAGTTAAAGGTGGCATGTTACGTAACAAAAGGTAGAAACAAGCCACGCGTCTGACGTGTTTTTAGCCGCGAGCGACGCGCCAGGCGTGTTAGACATGTCAGAAGAATCTGACTCGAAGATTTAAAGAATCCTCTCGCCCCCCGATTTCTTCTTCTAAAACAGGTGATAATTTTTTTTTTTTTTTTTTTTTTTTTTAAATCGTAGGCGGATTAAAAATGCGCCCTCTCTTTATCGGGCAACATTGGAAAGGTGTAACAGGTGAATAATAAAAAGAAAATATGTCAAGTAAGAAATTCCAAGATCCTTTTGCGCAGTGGGAGGTCCATCGAGGAGAGATTTTCTCTCGTGTCCTCTCCACACGCGTACAATAGCACTTCACAAAATATTCTTGAATGACTTGCTGGACCCAAATTTACTATATACATACAATATTGTATGTATCGAGGGAAATTTTTAAACTAAAATCTACAAAACACAAATTTTGTAAAAATTCATTTTTAAAGAATAAACAAAAATTTTTTTTTTTCCTATAATTTTTTAACAAAATTTTTATTTGTAAAAATTGGAAAATAAAAATTTTCTAAAAATTTATTTTTAAAGAATAAATTTTTTTTTTCCTATAATTTTTTAACAAAATTTTTATTTATAAAAATTGGAAAATAAAAATTTCGTTTAAAGAGAAAAAAATCAGTTTTTTCTTTTTTGAAAAGAAAATATAAAAACTTTTTATAAAAAACAATCAGATATGAACAGTTCTAAAAATTTAGACCAACTTGAAATTTTTTTATTTTAAAAAGTTTTTCAATTACAGTGTGGGAGCAATTTTTGGTTTTAAGATTAAAAATTGTTGAATAAAGATTTTTAGTGAAATAGTTTTAAAATTATTTCACTATTATTATAAATAATAAAAATAATATATGTATTTGCAATTGTATGATAAATTCTTGACATTATAAATCAAAATCACTGTAAATAAAAAAATTAATTCATTTATTACAAATGTGAACTCATGCGAATCTAAATGCACCTGCTTGCAAAATTTTCTTACTACATATTACAAACATTTCGATTCTCAAGTGGCTTATTATAGTCTACAATAAATTTCAAATTCAAGCCTTGGAGGGATATAAATTCCAAAGGAATCTTCCGGAAGTTGAAAATACATCACACTCTATACATTATATTATAATATACCCAGGAGAAATAAAATT